GTGACGGAGGTGAATTGCCGGATAGATTAATTGATTCGAAAGAAATTACTCTTCCTACAGTCTCAGCAGCTAGTCGAGACGATTTTTCATCGGGCATGTAACTCATTTTCACTCGTCAGTTGCAATCTGCCAGCTATAATATAATAAAAATCACATACGTATAACTTGCCTCTTTAAATAACATTCACAAACGACGGATACCAAAGTATCACAAGCAGAATTCATCAACGACGTTCGCAATCACGTAACGTTTCGCCGGCGGTGACGCCATTGTGATTAGTCCGTGGTTGTCCCCCGAAACGTCAAAAACGAAGTGGGCGGGGCTTATCGGCCGGGACTGGATCGGTCTATTATATGTGTGATGGAGAAGCACTTGCGTCGCTAGTTTTCTCAACAATCTGAATACATGGATGTAGCGTGAAACCGGCAGATACCTATAAAAGAAAGTGTTTTCCCTACCTGTAACAACGATGCCCCGTGTCTATAGAAGGGATATAATATGGGGATGAATGACATGGACCTTTATATTGGCCCGTTTATGATGATACATATTGCGATCTTTCACAATAATCTCTCTGGCTATCAGATTGATGGTACTCTTTAATCATCACCGGTATTTCAATTATTGTATTTATACAGTTCGAACGTTCTCCATATATACGTCCTTCAGATACCTCGCGCACTACCCCCTTTCTCTTTTGATCTTCTCAAGCGACTGTTACAAGTTCGAAGAATCCTGGTCAAAGTTGAAAAGTATTAAGACTATTCCCTAATATTCTGTAACATACACATTGTACCTAAAATGAGTAGAGCTTCCGTTTGGGGGAATATCAGAAGGACAGCGATACATGTATCTCCAATGTTGTAGAAGGCACTCCACTTACTTAGGAAAACAATAACTTAATGAGATATTGCATTCATGTCGGAATCAATATTTTCGGCCCCAATCAGATGTGAACATGATAGGTCTGCGTCTATGTCAGACTTAAGGTCTGCGAGTTGTTTAGCAGCACTGGGGCGTAATAGTGATATAGGCCTGCTCCAAACAACGGAATACAAAGAAACTAATTTTCATTCCATGTCTCACAGAATAAGGCGTGCACCACACAAAATGACTGTATTGCCCACATTTACTAACGTTAGGGAATATACGTTTCATCCGGCGGCCATATGAACAACGTTTGAAATCTACGTATCATCTGGCTGTCAGATTTACACACGTTTAAAAGTGTGTTTAAATTAACGTACACTCAACTCTGTATTTACATGTATTTCAAAGGTGTGTAAATCAGGCCATTGTTTTCATGTGTTTTCTAGCATGTGTAACGTATGTAAATGCTGTGATTGTAGGACATGCATTTTAATACATTTGAAATCTCGTATGACCAGGGTTAGGTTTGCCATATATTTAGTACACGCGTTAATGGTTGGTAATGGATAAATAGTGTTACAAGATTTACACTATTTTAACATGTATTTCAATGGTTCTGTCATGTAACTTTCACATATGGTTCGTTAGCGCGTCGGACCACGCCATAATGCACGGAGGTAATTAGAAACACATGGCGAAGTGATACCCATGACTGAGCACCGCTATTAACGTGCCTGCCTTTCTTGACATACACATGATGTCTGTTTAAAAGGTTCAAATATTGGGTCTGTGGGCTAGAGCGATATGTATGTTAGGGAGTGTGTGTATGTGTGCATGTGTGTGAGAGGGAGGGGTGTGTGATGTGGCAGGCCTAGGGTGGGGTGATGGCGGTGGGGTACTGATAAGCCTTTCTGCAGCTGGTCAGTAGGTAATACCGTTTATAGTTTTTGCAATGGAAATTACATGACACTTTAAATAACTGATCTTAGGTACACGTCTTATATATAACATGCAAGGAGAGACTGGTTATTGCAATAAAACACTGACAGGTGTGTTCACACAGACATGAACCGGTAGGTCCCTAATTTTAGTGCACACCTGTATAAGTTATCAGACTGATCATAGCTGCACAAATTTTATTATCTATTCTTTTGAAAATGATGATTACAATGTATTAATGATTCCCGGTGTAAATTACTGTTGTAAATGTGTAAACATGCATATACGTACTTGGTATAACCTCTCTTTTATTCGGAATCTAGATATTATCCCATACGGACGTTTTCTAAAATGTAAGTTCCCCGACGGAATATACATATAGCGGTTGTACACCTATTTTGATTCCAGTTCTAGGGTAGATTATAGAAAATTCTTGTGATTACAATTAGTTCATAAGCTTAGGTAACTACGCAGTTTCGATAATTACTGGAAGTTTACCATCTCACAGCATTTGTTACTCATGCGTTTTCATTTTCGCTTTTTGCTCTCTGATTTGTTATACATTACATAATTATGGTAATCATTTTGGCATCCCGATATCATAGAATAAATGTTTACTTACTAATCTATCAAAGTGCCAAAACTTATTGTCTGTATGTGTTACTGTTATTGAGTGAAACTGTTAAATGTACCTTCGTACAGAATTTCCAGGACATAGAAACTGAAAATTGCTAAATAAATGGAAAACTAAATTTGATAAAAATTGCAAACAATTATTATTCATATACCAGTTTTAAAGTATCAGTGTGCAGATGTTCAATGGATATTAAGACCAAGTAAATTGGAAGATTCACAGTCTAACAGTATTTCTTTACAGTATTTCCTTACAGACATATATGGAAAATTATTTTTACGGGTATGGAACGAATGGGGTAAAACATCTGCAAAGCATCTGAGTCAGCTGAGATTATCCTTTAAAAACATCATATGTACATTTAACAATTACTTATCATTAATTGCAACCAAAGCATTACATAAATGCCATATTTCCAGACAACATGACATCACCTTTGGCCGGAGTTCCAAATATTTGACATCGAAACCTGTCAGTTAACTCAAAGGAAATAACCCTTGTGTTTTACAATGATGCCTTAATCATAGTCACAATGAAGCATAGGTTGCCATGTGTTTGGCAATATGACTGAGTCAGTGAAATACTAATATTTACAAAATAAAATTAATTGTAATGAAGCCTTTCTTTAAGCAGTGACTTAACGCCACTCATAGCTAGACTTGCTTAGATCATTAAAAAAAGAAAAAAAGGGGAAAAAACACACAATAAAAACCTAACAATTTCATGCAAGGCATCATGGATATTTCACAAACATAGTACAGGACCCTTCCCCTCATCAGCGTATTGCCTCACCACTTGCGAATTAAGCGTTCGCAGATGTAAGGCGTTAGCACTACAGTAAGGGCAGGGCGGAAGGGGAAATAATATAGTTCTGTGACTGTGAGCCACTCTGGGAAAATATGTGGAAAACCAAATATTTTGGACAATAGACCATTGTTTGGGTATTTTAATTGTAAATATGATTCAAATATCTTAGCCTAAATTTCTACATCCTTACATATAATTCAAAAGTATAACAGCACGAGTATTCATTTCGTCTTTTGTCTTCTAACCGACCTTACTAGACTAACAACTAGTCTCTGAAATGAACATATTTTGCAGAAAAAAAGTTCACAGTAAAAAGGAAAAATATAATAAAAAGGAGCCCTGAGACATTCTCCTAAAGCTGTGGAAATCTACACTTGCCACAATTTCTAGACTTGCGTGGGCTTCGATATATTTGCTTCAGGGTCTGTATGGCAGACTACGTCCCTACATACGCTCAATCACATGTGTCTCCAGGTCACGGAGAATCATTGGTGTAGGGGCCCATATTGCAATTCTCGCGCGTTTGCATGTGTTGTTGACGCGGCATGGACGCCTTGTAACATAACTATTTGATTATGATTCACCAACACATGCTCATGATATGGTCGGAATCATGCCACGGATTAGCAGATATTTATCATGAAAACAGGTTTTTATGTAGGTGGCTTTTAACTTGCTTTTACAAAGGCCAATAGATTCGATCACAATACTTTTCGTTTTACAACTGCTTTTCTCTTAACATGCTGACCTCAAAACTGATTTAAATTCTAATCGCTGATTAAAGAGTAAGACAATAAATAGTATGTCAAATTATCGTTACCTTGACAAACCTGTGATATTTTACCTTATGTAAGAGAGCTATAAATACGATGCTGGGTGTGGCAGTACAACTGCAGTTAATAGTGTCTGTCGTAAATTTTAATAAGTTGCTTCAACGCTATCACTAATCACTGGGTATCTATACAACTGTATGTGTGATGGAGAAGCACTTGCGTCGCTAGTACATCGCGCACTACCCCTTTCTCTTTTGATCTTCTCAAGCGACTGTTATAAGTTCGAAGAATCCTGGTCAAAGTTGAAAAGTATTAAGACTATTCCCTAATATTCTGTAACATACACATTGTACCTAAAATGGGTAGAGCTTCCGTTCGGGGGAATATCAGAAGGACAGCGATACATTTATCTCCAATTTTGTGCAAACACAACACAACGAGCAATTTAACACAACAGTTGTTTTATTAATAAACATTTATTTGGCACAACTTGGGAGCTGACTGATAACTGAAGAAGGGATGACCAAGAGCTAGGTTGCTGTCCTGGAACCGCTGCGCCGGCTTGGACGAAGAGGTGTGTGGAGTCTGCGGACTCTGATTGCTAAAGTGGGGTCTGCGGACCCGGTTGTAACCTGAGCTCTGGTTTAAAACTTGGGGGATAAGGATCCAGTGTTAAGTGGGTAATTGCCCAAAGCGAATGAATTAATATATTTAAGAAAGCGAGACCCCGTTAAAATATTTAAACAATAAGAGCCCCCAAGTTGCGAAATACAAACATGAATGTGATAGGAACATAAAGACATGCAAATAATGCAACCGTGAGAAAGATTGCTGCTAAGGCTCAGTCCTTGGGTAGATGCCGTATGAGTGACAACTGTGCATTCCTAATAACAGATTCAGGTGTACGCACATACCGATTATAACAATCAGACTGCCATCTACCGAGTGTCTTTATCAAGTGATCCTCCATGCGTAAACTAGCCGCAGACGTGGCTGCACCAATACTGAATGAGTGTCCTGAATATTTCCTGGAATCGAGTCCTGCATGTCTCATAGTTTGGGCAAGCTATTGGAGCAACACTGTACGTGTGATTGCCTTCCCCACACAGTCTACGAAAAGCGGGTCACTGTTCGAGGCACCCTGAGAGAGTCTTACTTGTTTGAGGCGGTTAAGGTTAATACATGGACAGATGGCCGTGTAGTTAGCGAACAGGGATATGTTGACACCCTGTCTGAAGACGTCAGTTTTGGAGGCTTTTAGTGTCAGAGTACACTTCCCTTGGATATGATCCATTGTCACATCCGACACAGATACGTTGGTGCTTGCATCGAATTCACGTGAACATGTAAATTCAGCACACCTGAGGAATCCGAAGAAGGCTGTTGTGCTCATGACCACCATAACCAGATCGTTAAATGGTCCTAACACTCCTTCTCTTAGTTTAAGCACAATCTTTGTTAGCACATCATAAGTTATAGGCAGGCGTGTAGATATACTGGGTTTCTGCAGTCTTTTATACCCATGTAGAAGAGTCTGCAGTTGGTTTAGAGCACCACAGGAGACTAGATCAAACACTGTCTGGATACCTGCTTTCAGATAGGTGAATCGAATGCCCGCAAGGTATGACTTCACAGTGCTATACTGAAGTTTAGCTTCACCAAAACAGTAGGCCACATATTGTTCTAGCAGTGCCGAGTTCACCGGAGGTAGGTTTCCGAAGGGCTGCGTCAGAGTTGTATACAAGCTGTATCGAAGGACTGAGATGTAGGACTGGAAACCAGTTGCGTAAGTAGTTCTGGTTCTTGTTCCGACTGATGCCTCCCATAGGGTGTTCAGATGTTCTGCCAGACCCATGTCAGTTGTGACGGGGGTGGGCATGGTGTAGCTTGAAGATCTGCTTTGGGGGCTAGTGTCCGGAACCGACCGATCTGCAGCCGAGATAGAGAATCAGCAATTTGATTAGCGACACCAGGCACATGTTTAGCATGTACAACAAAATTATGAGAAGCAGCTAAGGAAGTTAACCTGCGCATATAAGGCATAATGTCCTTGCATTTTGATCTACACTTTGTAATAATGCATACAGTAGATTCGTTGTCACAATAGAACACAATCTTTTTTGTTGACCACTTTTCACCCCACAACACTGCTGCTACCACAATGGGGTAGAGTTCCAGGAGAGCCATAGATCGACTGCTACTACGGCACAGACGTTGCATGTTGACTGGCCATGGTGCAGAGAACCATGAACCATTGAAATATCCTCCAAATCCTAAAGTAGAGGCATCAGTATACAGTCTCATGTCTGGAGCTGGTGTCGATGATGATTCATGGAAGAATGACACCCCGTTCCACTTGTGAAGAAACGTGTGCCACATGTTCATGTCTGTGATGCAGTTTTTCACTGACTTCGAGAGATCAATGAGATAAGACACGAATGACCGCCCAGGCACCACAACTTTGCAGGCATAGCTCAAATGTCCAATCAAAGATAGTAGCTGTTGTTTGGTGCACTTTCTCTTGTGACTGAAATCTTGAATCATGGTGGATATCCTGGACAGTTTGTCCCGGGGGAGCCGGGCTGTCATTGTCACTGAGTCTAGCACTATACCCATCTCACAAGCTGGTCCTAGCGTTTAATGTTCAGATAAGGGAACCTGTAGCTTTTTGGAGACATCTCTGAGAGTGTTCATAGTACTGGTAGCTGGATATGTGGGACTATCGATGGTTAGAAAGTGACAGTCATCAAGTAAATGGAGCATGAATTTGACATTGTAATTGTTTTTTAGAATCCATTCAATAGCTTGTGAGATATGATCAAAGATGCGAGGACTAGATCTACACCCGAACGCGAGACGTTTGAAGAAATAGTATTGATTCGCCTATTTGAATCCAAACAGTGGCCAGAAATAGGGATAGATTGGTACTTGTTTAAATGCATCTTTCACATCCACCTTGCACATTTGAGCACCCTTGCCAACATTATTCAATTGTTTTATTGCATCATCTACTGTCACAAAGGTTAACGAGCACACGTCTTTGTGTATCATGTCATTGATGCTCATAATTTCACAGTGGTCATGAGGTGCTGACAAATCGAGGATCAACCTTTTTGCATGCTGTATTTACCTTCGGCTAGCCCTAGTGGACTAACTCTAAACAGTTTAAAAGGTGAATGTTTAAATGGTCAATCGATATAGCCCCTGTCCAGTTCTTGTTTCACTAATGCAGTAACAGTTGCAGGGTCTTTTCGAGCACTCAGGTTGTTCCTACACTCCCAAGTTTCATCTGGCACTGATGACACGAGGGGATGAAAACCATATTTAAGTCCATTGGTTACATATTCCACAAAGTCTGCGTCTGGATGGGAAGCCAGTTCTTCTTGTAACTGGTCTACGTTAAGTGGGGTCAATGATGGTCATTTTTTCTCGTATGACTTCTTGTCACGAGCATGTTTGGTCTTCCGGCAATCGAGCTTACTGTGACCTTGGCCAAAGCAAGAGGCACAAACATGAAGAAACTTGCACCGGGATCTCATGCATCCGTCCTGGTTGAAGTTACTGCAAACTTCTCGCCCTTGGTGTTGTATCCTCTGCCGTCCATATGAATCGGTTGTAGTCGATGAAGGGGTGTAGGTCTTCCTTATGGCTGCCGCCCGAGGCAAGTCACTCTCTTGCCCCAGCACTGATGGGCATGTGGCTGTGTCGTGGCTAATGCTGGCACATCGTACACAAGACCTACAGCGTAGTCCGGATGTACAGGTCGTGTAGATCCTGGTATCGGGGATCCCCCAGTCGAGATGTATCCCACTCTCAGCTAGTGCCGCGACCCGAACAGCAAAGCGTTTGTCGTATTCGTAATGGACGAAACCACCATATAGGTTGTGTAGTTCTCCAACGGTATGTTCGTGTTGGTCCAGTTGGGCTCTTCTGTTTGGCCACGCTTCGCTGAAAATGTCTTTGTAGATTTTGAAAGATCTGGTAAATTCAGCAAAGTTTAAGTTTCTGCTGAGTCGGGGATCGGCTTTGACATTCCTACACCCTCCTGATTCTTCTGAGACTCTATAGTCTCCAGCTTCTTGTGTAGGCAGCAGCAGTGATGCTAGGTTAACATATTTCCCCTGGTGTATTTTTCTTCTGGTATGTTCATCAACAAAATTTACATAGGGAATGGTATCAGATGACACGAACTGCACTGAAGGTGGTGATATGTTATCATCGTTTGACCTACCCCTTGAATTTAATTGCTGTGAGAGGGAAGAAATCAGATCCTTCATTTCTCTCATTACGCCAATCATGTCAGCTGAAGGAGTTGGTGGTGTCGCCCTGGTATCGGATGTCTCCTCGGTGTTCCCGGAAATTCCAATGTGCGAGGGGTTGTGCTGCGAAGACGGAATGGCGAATGTCAGACTTGAGCCACTGTTACGGTGTGTGTGTGTTGTGTGTGTGTGTGTGTGTGTGTGTGTGTGTGTGTGTGTGTGTGTGTGTGTGTGTGTGTGTTACTGGAACCGCCTCTACATCCCTGCTGATCGCACAGTTCTCTTTGTACAGTTGCAACACGGTCTTCCTCCCCCATGTCGAAGGCACACTAACCCCAATAGCTTGTAATCTCTGGCGTAACACATCTGTAGTCAGGTATGGAGCGTTCCTGGTACTGCGTGTTTCCCCATCCTCATCTCCAACATGACGGTGCGTATCAATCCCTTCGTTGGTTGAGGAAGGCGCACTTGAGCTTGCAACGTATGTTCTACCTCATCTTGCAGAGCGTCCGGATGCCATGTCAGCGATAGTTGGCAGCTTACCATCGACAGTGAGGTATAGTAGCAACAATACCAATCACTTACGGTGCCAGAAAAGCAGTAGCAAATTTGTACCTGCTGTTATGTTGCGAGCACTATGACTTGGAGCAGAAGGAAGAAGAGAGGGGGTTGTGGGAAGTAAACAAAGTGTGCGCATGCGCAAGGTATGTAATGGAAACTGCGCATACTTCCGCTGCTGAGAATACTTGGTAAGGCCAGGTGATACGTAATATTAAGAAGTGACACTTGAATGATTAAAGGGGTGCGCAGAAACATAGTACAACATACATAAATAGGTAAATAATACATACAAGTGGAAAAACATTTTTCTGTTTGCACAAACAAAAATATATGAATTGTCATGTTGTAGAAGGCACTCCACTTACTTAGGAAAACAATAACTTAATGAGACATTGCATTCATGTCGGAATCAATATTTTCGGCCCCAATCAGATGTGAACTTGAACATGCCAGGTCTGCGAGTTGTTTAGCAGCACTTGGGCGTAATAGTCATATAGGCCTGCTCCAAACAACGGAATATTTATCTTTTCAGAAGGACTTCTCCGACGGGTAAAGGTACAGCAATGCAACATCACATTTACTTGTGTGACATTTGCTTTCGCAATCTGAGTTCATCGATCGTCAATTTAAACAGGACAATCAAGGCGAATTTAAAAAAGGCACGGAGGTCCAACATGCCTGTGGTATACTCAGAGAACGCCCCCGCCTGTGCTATCGGGTCATAATCGCTACACGAAAAAAACTATTTTCCGTTTAATGTCTCACAGAATATATAATTTGATTTGTGATATCATATATGTGTTAATGAAACAAATGTGGACAACTTTAAGTTCCTGTATGGCGTTTCCAAGCAAAGGATGACCGGAAGGAGAAAAAATACATGGTTCAAGGACTGTGAGAGTAATAAGAAAGATCACATGCAGTGCAATCATATTCCACTTATGTACCGCCGAACAATAGTTAGTAGTGAGCTGAATAGACTTAAGAAATTACGAGTTGGTAAGTATGGCATATTTGGCTGAGCTCTAAGAGAGATAAAGTGCTATTCTATTGGGACAGCTAGGGGCACTTGAGAGGACAAAGAGGCACCTCATCGCCCTTTGTTCACCGCTGAACCTTTTAATCCCTCGAAACAAGCACCTCACAAGATTTGCCAACACCGCAGACAAGACGTAACTGATACTGGTAGCAAGAGCGAGTGCAGCTTAATCAGGCGTGTTAGCTTGCGTAATACTGCTTTCTTTGTCAGGCTCTTTTGGTAATATGAATAATGAGGTCACGTCGATGTGCAGCACCATAAATCCTCGGATGATATACTCCAGTAGAAAAACTATATAACTATACATAAATTATATGCATCGGGGACTGATTGTTTGCGTGTCTGGGGATTTAAGTCGACCATTTCAGATTAACGTCTATTAATATATTGCTCATCTCCTACGTGAAGTTTGTACAAGAGGTGGTGCGCGTGTAAACGTATGAAATAATATCCGTTACATGTTCAACACGAATGGCGTTAAGATTAGCTTCACACTGTCATCTGCGACTGAATATCTTCGATATTCATTTCGCGATCAAAGGTAACAAGAGTTTTTCAAACTCCCAGCGTTGATGTGTGAGTGACTCAACATGGATTTATGCATAAACAACATACAGGGCATTGATTAGATTCATGTTCCTGTCATATTCAGATATAACCACAAAGGAAAGACCAGCACGAACAAACACAGGCGTTCACTACACGCTCTCGCTTTATGAGATATACGACGACAGATGGTTGTTGTCACAACATGTACTCGGTGAGTGTTCAATAGCTAAACCAGTCAGTAGTTTACAAACTAAATAAAAAAGGCCAGGTTTCTTTTTATCCACCATTATGTGATACACTTAGCATGTGATAAGTTGTACAAACGCTACACTTCAAAGAGTAAATAAACACAGGAACTTCCATTTGTTTTCCGTTGTCAGATCACATAATGCCAATGTCATCGCTGGGCGTGGGACGTGGAGTGACTGAAAAGCAAATGGGACGTGAAAGCTTGGAATACATTCTGTGTTTCAAAGACAGCTATTTAACATGAAGGACTAGTGTAAATTTTGCAGTAATGTTTTTTTATTACGATCGAAATGGGCCGACCAATATGAATAATATCTCAAATCTATTACATGCCTATGAGTATGAAAGTCAAGTACATGCAATGCCTTGCAAATGGTATTGTTAAAGCGTTCGCTCGTCACGCCAAAAACCCGGGTTCGATTCCTCCAATGGGTACAATGTGTGAAGCCCATTTTAGGTGTCCCTCTCCGTGATATTGCCGAAATATTGCTAAAAGCGGGTAAAACTAAACTCACCCACTCACTCCATTATAACCGACAACCCTGACTATCTTGCCGTCGCCCATGTCCGTGTATGAACCATACAGAGACACATACAAATTGCATTTCTAGCATTGCCATCGAAAAACATAGTTTTATTGCTTTCTTTTTAAAACAGTTTCTGAAGAGAGAATACAATAGAACCATTCTGATTAACACATATAAGATTCAGATTTAAGATTCGCAAATCGTAATCGAGACGGGAAGCTATATGAGGACCTTAGGAGAACGCATAACTTGTCAGCTGACACGAATTATTATCAGTGAAGATCTTACTGACCCCGAGCAGCGCTAGCTCGAAGGGCCCGCCAGCTTGTCGTGGATGAGAAAGTTGAGGCATCATGGCTGACCAGTGGAGTCATGCATCTTCATAAAGATGCTGGACGGGACGGC